TTCTGATATACAGAATCTTCTGTACTTCACTTTCTACATGATTGAATTTGGCCTGATTTATCATTTATTGGAGTTTAAAAACTGCCCAAAAATAACTGTTTTGCTTTTCTTTAAGAGCCAAGAAATTGGATCTGTAAAGCCGATTTTCACCGTTTCAAAGGGGAGGGTCGTTCCAGTTGGTTTAACCGGTTTGGGAAGCTGAACGACTCCATAAATCATGTGAAAAATGACAAAAACAAACAGACAGGAACTGGATTTTCAGGTGTTTGGAAGCTGCTCGTGAATTGAGTCAGAAGCTCTGAGAGGAATGTGTGAAAGAATGAGTGACCCCGGTGGTCTGGACCAGCCAAACGGGTCCAGTCTGCACAGATAAGGTCAATCAGGCCCCAAAATGCTCATTTCTGCTGATTATCTTCACCTTCTGGAAGTTTCCACCCTCACCCAGAACATTCCTTCTAACCAGGAGCCATCCGGCCTGTTTTAGGAAGGTTTCAGCTCCTTAAATGCAATCGTTTCTCATTTTAAAAAGGTCATTTTTAATGGTGTGTGTTCATACATCGACGTTTTGGATCAAAACCTCACCAGATTTCTGCTGTTTTTTGGAAAGAAAATAACTATATTCCTTCTTTTTTGTAACACGACCTACACACCGATAGATTATTTACCATTTATACAGAAGTAGAGCTCAGTATTAATTAATAAACAACTCAGACATGTATGGAAAAAGTCAGAAATCCTAAAGTCAGTTTAACGGGCAAACTGGGTCCAGTCTAACCTGGTCTAACGACCCACTGGGTCCAGTCTAACCCGGTCTAACAGGTCCAGTCTAACCCGGTCTAATAGGCCCACTGGGTCCGGTCTAACAAGTTCAGTCTAACCCAGTCTACCGGGTCCACTGGGTCCAGTCTAACTAAGTCTAACTTGTCCACTAGGTCCAGTCGGGTCGGCCCACTGGGACCGGGTCTAATGGTTCTAATCTGGCCCGGCCCAATGGGTCCAGTCTAACCCAGTATGGCCTGGTCTAACAAGTTCACTGAGTCCAGTCTAACCTAGCCTAACGGGCCCACTGGGTCCAGTCTAACAGGTCCAGTCTAACTTAGTCGGGTCAGCCTAACAGGTCCACTGGGACCCGGTCTAGTGTGCCCACTGGGTCCAGTCTAACCCGGTCTAACAGGTCCAGTCTAACCCGGTCTAATGTGCCCACTGAGTCCACTGGGTCCAGTCTAACAAGTTCAGTCTAACCCAGCCTAACAGGTCCACTGGGTCCAGTCTAATTGGCCCACTGGGTCTTCTGGGACCCGGTCTAACCCAGTCTAACTTGTCCTCTGAGACCCCGTCTAACGGTTCTGATCTGGCCAGACCCACTGGGTCCAATCTAGCCCGGTCTAACGGGCCCACTAGGTCCAGTTGGGACGGCCCACTGGGTCCAGTCTAACCCAGTCTGGTCGGCCTAACAGGCCCACTGGGATCCGGTTTTACAGGTCCAGTGTAACCCGGTCTAACAGGCCCACTGGGATCCGGTCTAACCCGGTCTAATGGGCCCACTGAGTCCACTGGGTCCAGTTGGGTCGGCCCACTGGGTCCAGTCTAACCCAGTCTGGCCTGGTCTAACAAGTTCACGTAGTCCAGTCTAGCCTAGCGGGCCCACTGGGTCCAGTCTAACCCACTCTGGCCGGGCCCACTGGGTCAGGTCTAACAGGTCCAGTGTAACGGACCCACTGAGTCCACTTGGTCCAGTCTAACAGGTCCAGTCTAACCCGGTCTACCGGGTCCTCTGGGTCCAGTCTAACTAAGTCTAACTTGTCCACTAGGTCCAGTTGGGTCGGCCCACTGGGTCCAGTCTAACCCAGTCTGGCCTGGTTTAACAAGTTCACTGAGTCCAGTCTAACCTAGCCTAACGGGCCCGGTATAACCCGGTCTAATGGGCCCACTGGGTCCAGTATAACGGCCCACTGGGTCCAGTCTAACCCAGTCTAACCCGGTCTAATGGGCCCTCTGAGTCCACTGGTACCCAGTCTAACTTGTCCTTTGGGACCCGGTCTAGCGGTTCTAATCTGGCCCGGTCTAACTTGTCCTCTGGACCCGGTCTAACGGTTCTAATCTGGCCCGGTCTAACAGTTCTAATCTGACCCGGTCTAGCGATTCTGATCTGGCCCGGTCTAACTTGTCCTTTGGGACCCGGTCTAACGGTTCTAATCTGGCCCGGTCTAACTTGTCCACTGGGACCCGGTCTAATGGTTCTGATCTGGCCCGGTCTAACTTTTCCTCTGGGACCCGGTCTAACGTGTCCAATGGTCCAGTCTAACCCAGTCTAACAGGATCAGTCTAACCTGGTCTAATGTGCCTACTGGGACCAGTCTAACAGCCCACTTGGACCCAGTCTAACCCAATCTAACTTGTCCACACGGACCTGGTCTAACGGTTCTAATCTGGCCCAGCCCACTGGGTCCAATCTAACCTGGTCTAATGTGCCCACTGGGTCCAGTCTAACCCGGCCTAACAGGTCCACTGGGTCCAGTCCAACGGATCCACTGGATCCTCTGGAATCCGGTCTAACCCAGTCTAACTTGTCCTCTGCGACCCGGTCCAACGGGTCCAGTCTAACCCGGTCAAACGGGCCCACTGTGTCCAGTCTAATGGGCTCACTGGGTCCAGTCTAACTAAATCTAACTTGTCCACTAGGTCGAGTGTAACCCGGTCTACCACTGGTTCCTCTGGTACCCAGTCTAACTTGTCCTTTGGGACCCGGTCTAACGGTTCTAATCTGGCCCGGTCTAACGGTTCTAATCTGGCCTGGTCTAACGGTTCTAATCTGGCCCGGTCTAACTTGTCCACTGGTACCCAGTCTAACTTGTCCTTTGGGACCCGGTCTAACTTGTCCTCTGGGACCCGGTCTAACGGTTCTAATCTGGCCCGGTCTAACGGTTCTAATC